CACACACACACACACACACACACACACACACACACACACACACACACACACACACAGCAGGTAAACATCACCTGGACCTTTCAGCTGATAAACATGGACTTCCTCATCAAGTTTACTTTCTGCTCCTCTCTGAACATTTAAAGGTTTGTTCTGACTGACAAACATATAACAATGTGCTGTATACAACAATAATAATAATAATACTGATGAGTACTGACGTCTCTGTCGACGGTGGTGGCGAAGCTGACGGCCTCCTTCTGGCTGCAGTTTACAGCTTTCTGCAGAGTGTAGATCACCTGTTCATACGTGTGGACTTCATCATTAAACAACATGCAGTAGTAGGTGTCTCCTCTCTCCCTGCGCGTGCGCGCGCGCGCACACACACACACACACACACACACACACACACACACACACACACACACACACACACACAGGAAGTATCAGTACATGCAGTACAGATCAGCTGACAGATGATACTGATGCATCCACCTGTCTCTACACTGACTGAACTGAAAGCTGCTCTCAGGTCAGATTCTTTTGTATAAGAGTATTTTTATGTTTAATGTTAATTATGTTTTTATGACTTTCATAATGTTTTTATTATCTATTATTTTTGCTGATTGTCTGATTGTTAAAGTTTCTCTGCTGATAATGAGATTTGATCTGAAACAGAGTGCGTACGGTGGCTCCAGTCCTGCAGGTAGCTGGTCCTCCTGTTCCCAGGTCAGCATGTCCACAGCGTATTTCAGAATGATGGAGAAGATGCTGTGACCACGGGCAACCATGTCAGCTGGGAGCTGGGCTACGGGGTCCTGAAGGGACAAACAGTGCAGAGTGATCATCACTGCAGAGGGGCAGCAACTGGCAGACAGACAAGTGGAGAGACAGACAGGTGTCTCACCTCCTCAGTGTCTCTGCTGTTGTCTGTGGGTGTGTGTTTCTGGCAGTAAGGACCCTTCTTCCAGGCCTCAGCATCTCCACAGTCACAGAAACCTCCACCTCCAGACGTGGTCATCTACAACACACACACACACACACACACACACACACATTGTCTTTCTATATCTGAGATGACCGTCAGTGACATAATACATTCCCAGCCCCGAAACCTGATTCTAACCTGAACCTGCATGTCTGCACCAGGTCTGAACCTGGTGCAGACATGCCCTCTCTACAGTGGTTTAAAATGGAAATTGGTCCTCAAAACGATAGCACTACAAAGCAAAAAGACGACACACTCAGACAGAGTCAGTCGTACAAACACACACACTGTTTTGTGCAGTCAGTGGGTCGCAGGTTTGTGTGTGCTGGCAGCATCACCTGCAGCAGACAGCAGACTCTCAGTGTTCCTGCTGTCAGCTGCAGAGTCACAGCCTCACGGCTCTTTGTGCAGCTGACAGGTCGACCTTTAACAACGGTGAACACCCACAGGTAAAAAGGTAACACACACACACACACACACACACACACACACACACACACACACACACACCTTCAGGACAAAGATGACTAATCTCAGTTTCACCACTTTATTCCAGCCATGTTGCTAACATGCTAACATTTCAGCCTTGTTTCCTTTGTCAGAGCGCGGAGGAAAATTAAAGTCATGTCATTTATCTACAGGAGCTGGCAGGTGATTGGCTTAAATGGTCACATGGTCATTGGCTTTCTAAGGTGCTATATACATCTTTTCTTGATAATATGACAAAGAGCAGATGAAATGGTAAATTCCATACAACGTGAACAGTTCTAACTGAGGTCACAGGTTCTGATATATTTTCTGTTTCCATCTGTTGAAACTGAAATCTGTGTTCAGTCCAGCAGGTGTTGAGATCCAGCACATCTCTCTCTATCAGAGAGTAGTTTTGGTAGACTGCCCCCTGTGGCTGGGGGAGTTACATGTTCAAGTCCAATAGTGTGGCGGGAGAGTTAGGATTGGCTTCATGATAATGCTTCATTACAGCATGTTCCATGTTCCCTGTGTGAATGGCTGTTTTATGTTCTGAGATTTGTTGTTTGGGAGCTGTGTTTGTTTGTCCACAGGAGCATGTAAACTTGTCAATTACTGATGTTGTCGTTTGATAGGAAACTTCTTACCAGTATCTGCAAACTCCTGTGGATAAATGACATGACTTCCATTTTCCTCCATGTTCTGATGAAGGAAACAAGATTGAAACGTACAAATACACTGGGAAGTACGGATGGGCATTTTCAGTAATTTCAATATTCGAGTACTCTCATTACCTTATGAACGACTACTCGATTACTTGCAATTTATTTATATATATATATATATATACATAAGTATAATATAAGTTGAACTATTGTAGCCAAAAACAACAAATTCACAGGTGCGCGAGTGAAACGCTATTCGAATAATGACTCGAATAAATAAGATCTGTGGTTGACCTTTGACCTCTGAGGGCTGCAGCACATCATCACGTCCTCCTGATCAACAAACCTCAGAGTAACACTCTTCATGTTCTCTCTCAGTCCTGTGCTCATACACCAGAGGAGTGAAGTGGATCGCATCCTTGTCCCTGGTCATGTGGAGTCGTCACACACACAGGAGCTCCTCTTGTTACTGTCAGAGGTCACGTGAGGTCACATGATCACTACACACCCAGCAATGTGTGTGTGGGGGGGGGTCTTCACGTACCTGCCATCAGGTGTGTGTCTATTTAACAGCTGCTGTGTGTCACATTTCTATTCTCACATCAACCAGCTGGATGGTGTGTGTGTGTGTGTGTGTGTGTGTGTGCACTCACCCTGTATCGATGCTCTTTGTGAACGCTGCCCAGGAAACACTGCATGCACAGAACACATGTTGGATCAGCTGCACACTCCCTAAACACACAAACACACACTGTTCAAGTATAAACCAAGATCTGTGTGTTTTCTCTGTCTGTGTATATGTGTGTGTGTGTGTCAATTGTGTGTGTGTTGTGTGTGTGTGTTCATGAATATTATGTCCAGTCTGTGTTCAAACTGTTTCAGACAGCTGCTGATTCAGCTGGTTGTGAACTGGTTGCCTGCAGAACTGGGTGGGGGTGGGGGGGGGCACTGGAGTTCACTGAACTCATTGTCACATTCACGAAACCAGTTTGAGACATGGAGCGTTATCCTGCTGGAAGTCGCCATTAGAAGATGGTGAACTGATGTGTGTGACCTGTGCAGGTGTGTCTGTATTACCTGCAGGAGTAGGTGGGCTCCCCCACCTTGAACACATGCCCACACAGCGGTGACGGCTGGTTGTTCTCCTGTAGCTGAGCCAGGCCGGCCGCTGGCTCCTCCCCGAGCAGGAGCCACTCCAGAGGAGCCAGGAGGAGCAGCTGACAGGCCAGCTCCTCCCTCTGCTCCTCCCTCTGCTCCTCCCTGCTGCTGCCGCCGCCGCTCGGACCCAGGCAAAGAATTCTGGGTACATACGTGGCCAGGTGACTGTACACCTCCTGCTGCAGTTCAGCCGCTGCCAGCCACCGCTGAGGAGGAGGAGGGGAGGAAGGATGATCACGATCACTGCAGCTCTAATTCATTTATAAACAGACACTCAAAAACACCTTACATGATTAATGTGAAAATGTCTAGAAAACTGTTGTACTTTACTATAGCTCTACTGTAATGTGCTTTAGTATTCCTGTAGTAGTACTGTAGTAATCCTGTGTCGAGGTGCAGCAGCAGGTTCACATAATCAGCTCTGTAACAGTTTAACCTGCTGGACTCACTGACACACTAACCCAGATACTAACACTGAGCAAACACAAGGCCAACACTGAGCTAAAACCAGGCCAACACTGAGCTAAAACCAGGCCAACACTGAGCTAAAACCAGGCTAACACTGAGCTAATACTGAGCTAAGACCAAGCTAACATCCAGCTAACACTGAGCTAACACTGAGCTAACACCAGGCTAACACTGAGCTAAAACCAGGCCAACACTGAGCTAAAACCAGGCCAACACTGAGCTAACACCAGGCCAACACTGAGCTAACACCAGGCTAACACTGAGCTAAAACCAGGCCAACACTGAGCTAAAACCAGGCCAACACTGAGCTAAAACCAGGCTAACACTGAGCTAATACTGAGCTAAGACCAAGCTAACATCCAGCTAACACTGAGCTAAGACCAAGCTAACATCAAGCTAACACTGAGCTAACATTAACCTAATGAGTTACATAAAAATGGTCGAAGGTGTATTTAGCATTTATGTTAGCATGTTCATTATTCATGTGTTTGCTGTAGATCAGACTAGTGTCCCACTAAACCTGTAAAACCTGAGCGTTTTGTTTCAGAGCCTATAACTTTTAATCAATAATCAATTCTCTCCAGGCCTTTAGTCAGCGTGCTCAGAAGAACGAACACAACACACAACAAACATGACAAATGTGAATATAATAACCAAGACATCTGGATACATTTGCTTTCAAGTGACCCAGTTCTGCTGAATCCAGTCTTGACAGTGCATCAGGTCGATGACTCCATGAATAACAATGACAGAAATGCAACGATTAGTTGATTAATCAATAAGATGATTGATAATCAATAAATCTGACAGCATATATGAGAAACATGTAATCTGTCTGCTCCATTTATTATTATTCAATAAAAAATATTATTATTTTATCATAATATCATTCTATAAAGCAGCTAACCGCTAACAGCAGCTAGCAGCAGAGGTGAACAGCTGATCAGTGTTACAGCCGACTCAGTGACCCCAGGAGAAACCACACCTCTACAATACCACTGCAAATGTTCTGCTCATCCTTTATCAAATACATGGTGCCAACATGTTATTCATAAATTAAATCAGCTGTTTACCAAATTAAAAAGTCTGAAATATTCAGACACCTGTTGACAGGTGTGGAGCTGTAAACAACCTGTAGAGCTCCTCACCTGACAACATCTGCTCCATATACTAATCCAGGGATGCCACAATTTGTTATTATCGATTTATTATCAATCAACATGTCAGTTACTTTCTTAACTGAACTACAACCCACAGGTGTCATCAGCTGACTAAGACTGAAGAAA